TGTGTGTGTGTGTGAGATGTGGGGTGAGAGTTGTGTGAGACTGTGTGGGTGTGTGTGTGTGTGTGTGTGTGTGTGTGTGTGTGTGTGTGTGTGTGTGTGTTTTTCCTGAATATCCGTCCGCTCTGTTGGTGGCCGTTTCTAACAAACTAAAACTATCTCTGACACATCTTTTACTCACGCTGGGACGTCGGTGGCCATGAGCCAGAACCCGAACAGGAAGACCACGGTCCCAACGAGAGAGGCCGGCAGCAGCCAGCCGGTGTAGAAACCTGCACACACACACACACACACACACACACACACACACACACACACACACACACACACACACACACACACACACACACACACACACACACACACACACACACACACACACACACCACACAACAAAACCATTTTAAGAAACTATAATAACATACACATGGGCCATTGGTTGTGCCCATTTGTATGTTTTATTGTAGCACTAGATGGCGCATGGGGCACAGGGTATTTAGGTGACCTCAAACTGTTGGAAGAGCCACAGGTTTTTTTGACGATGTCGCTGTTTTCTTTCGTTGGAAATGAAATGGTATTGATAGCTAAAGACTTCGTAGTGAATGGAGATTACACACGTCCAAATAGGAGTACCCCGTTTAGCCAATCCCTTGGTGATATTGAAAGCCAATAGTCAACACAGCCATTGTTGAGCGTCTGTGCCTGCAATGTGAAGGCTAGCTAAGTCATTCATACCTCCTCGTGCCAGTGGGAGGCAGTAGTAAGTAGCGCATACATGACCTTGTTCATTTAAGACAATATATGATGACACAATTCTTACCCAGATGAAGAGCCTGGTCTGAGTGGTGGTCAAAGAAAGATGACACGGTGAGCTCGAGGCGATACATGGTGACAGTTATCTTTAGTTTACTTTCATCGGGGATCAGACTGCCACCGAAGTTCTTAATGCTGGGTGGGAAAAGGCTCAGTGCTAAGGTCCCAACACGCTCTAACTCATCTCCAAAACACTCAACGCTTCAACACGAGAACACGCACTGTTTTGTTGGTCTAAGTTAACAAACTGAGAAACAGGTAACTCTGAGCGAGATCTCAGAGCTTCTTAGTAACTGAACTCGTCAATTGAGACTCACTAAATGTTCAGCACAGTATGCTGTATTAGACTACGATGTGTCATTTTGAAACGTTTGGGGTTATTGGTGTGCAGATGTGAAGCTCGTACCTGCTGCAGACACACACTGTGGGACACTCTCAGAGGTGGGTTAGTTACTCATGTGGTAATTACCAAGCCAGGCGAAGTAAAGCGCTATCTTCTCTCCGAAGTATTCCCTGATGTGGTCCAGAGGCTGGTAGCTTCTCCAGGAGGACCAGGTGGCCCAGTGCGAATACAGGATCTGTCTCAGAGCTAAAGACTGGGGGGGCACTGGGGGGCTGGGCAGCTGGAATCCACCCTGCAAACAAAGAGCAAACATTTCAGTGCGGACAGTCGCTGAATGCAAACCACGCCCCGTACAACTCTGAAATGTTTTGTAGAGCCGCCATTTTATTATCCTCGCATTTAGCATTATTAGCATTAGCATTCGCCCAGTGCACAAACGCAGAGAGACTAACTTATGGCAACACAAAAGAAAACATGGGAGCGGTGGAGTGGAGATGAGGAGGTGTCGGCGTTCTGGCGATTTCCTCTGAAGGCTTCAGTAGAAGCTGCTGGGAGTCCCAGCAGCTTCTACTGAAGCTTTCCCCAACTCCGGGGACTTCCGGCCGGGGACTCCGGGTGGCAGTATACGCCGTGAAGTTGTTTGCGGCCTGCCAGTAAACCCAAAGCAGAAGAAGACAAAGTGACGTCAGCGGCTCATTTGCGTAATCTTCCCTCAGGGAAAAGTACTCCGGTGTGAACGCGATCTGTACTAACTGCCCTGGGGTCATAAGTGCTGGGGCTCTGAGTGCCGGCACTAAGTACGGCAAAGTACTTGGTGTGAACGCGGCTATTGAGTTCTTTGTAACCAAATCTCTCTCAGAGGGGCGTGGGGAGGGGCTCCTTATTTTCATCTAAAGTAACAGACAGAGAATCAGCACTTTGGAAACAGGGCTGAAACAGAGGGGATTATGGGTAATGCTGCAATGATCAACAATGCTGAAACACGCAATGATTGGTGTTTCAGCCAATCAGAGACAGGCTCTGGATATATCTGAGACCTGTGATATATTGATGAGATATGTATAATAGGGGACCTTTAAGACGGTGTCTCGTTTGAGGGAACACTCGTTTGGCGATTATACATTACATCGAAAAGTCTAGACCCCGAATACAAGACGAAAAAAACGTATCTTCAGGTCAATACGGTACTCTCCCACCTGCCGGGTTATAACCTCACCTCGTGCAGTGGGTAGGCTGCAGTGAAGACCCCCTCGCTCAGCAGACGGTCGATCCCAACCTCCCCACGTTTCATCGAACCGTACGGCGTCCGGGCCAGGATCTCGTACAGCTGCAGGGACAGGAAACAGTCACTGAGGGACAGGAAACAGTCACTGAGGGACAGGAAACAGTCACTGAGGGACAGGAAACAGTCACTGAGGGACAGGAAACAGACACTGAGGGACAGGAAACAGTCACTGAGGGACAGGAAACAGACACTGAGGGACAGGAAACAGTCACTGAGGGACAGGAAACAGTCACTGAGGGATAGGAAACAGTCACTGAGGGACAGGAAACAGTCACTGAGGGACAGGAAACAGTCACTGCGGGACAGGAAACAGACACTGAGGGACAGGAAAAAGACACTGAGGGACAGGAAACAGTCACTGAGGGACAGGAAACAGTCACTGAGGGACAGGAAACAGTCACTGAGGGACAGGAAACAGTCACTGAGGGACAGGAAACAGTCACTGAGGGACAGGAAACAGTCACTGCAGGATTTTGCACAATACCTCTTTTAAAAGTGTACAGCTCTCCCACTTTAAATACTTATATGCTGCACATATATTATTTGTAAAACTGTGAGAAATACAGCTTTCAGTATTGTGAGACAGGCTATATGCTAAGCTAATCAACATGTATCCACAATCACAACACTATCATGATGATCTCTAATATCGTTGCACATGAGTCTTCAATATTGTGTTTGTATTCCTTAAAGCTTCAGGCAGTGCACACTCGCTCTGTTTCAGGATGTGTGTGTGTGTGTGTGTGTGTGTGTGTGTGTGTGTGTGTGTGTGTGTGTGTGTGTGTGTGTGTGTGTGTGTGTGTGTGTGTGTGTGTGTGTGTGTGTGTGTGTGTGTTTGCAGAGGAGGCGTGCAGCGTCCTCCTGCTGACTGAAACATCCTGAACCTGAGAGGTCAACCGGTCTGCACCTCTGAGCCAATCAGAGCTCTCGCTGAGGGCCACGCCCCCTTCAGACACCAGGATGTTGGAAGTTAACTACGTGAGTCACTCAGCTTAACATATCATTACATTCACTGAAGAGGAGATGTTAGAGAGCCGTACATTTGATCAGGGATTAAACTCTGTATTTAATTTCATGAAACCAGAGCCCAGTCTGCTCTGATTGGTTAGCTGGCCGGCTCTGTTGTGATTGGTCAACTCCTTAGAGATGTCCCGCCCCTTAGCCTATCACGTACACTGTGTTGTTCTGTTGATTCGTAGAGTTTCGACCTATAATCTCTGAGCAGACTTTCACAATAGAATTTGTTTGCAGATATATTTAATCTGGTTGTTTATCTAACGACTTTAAACGTGTTCAATTGATCATAAGACAATATAAATATCTGCTCACTACATATTAATGAGTGGGTTATTAATAAAGCCAAGATTAGGAGGAGTGTCGTGGCGTTTTAATCAGTTTCTAGATTTAATATCCACTTGCCTCTAAGGGGGTTGTGGGTCATGACGCGCCTCTCTTTGCTTCCAAACTAACTTTGCAGAGATCGTTGTAGCGTTCAGTCAAATCAGATTTATTCTTTAAGGCGGCGTACAAACATGAGACAAACTTCCTCGCTTCAAAGCAACTAAAAGTTCTCCGTATCAAAAAAGGCCAAAAAGAACACGGTGAAAAGTCTGTACTGTGCACCATGGTCATGCCAATAGACATAAAGACATGCACGTCATACCCGACAGCGCACATTAGACAACAAATAAGTGAGACTTAAATGAACATCCTTTAAACCGTAGTGTGACTCACAAAAACAAATAGTTAAGAGTTTACTCTAAATCCTTATATGAATAAGACAAACATTCAAACCACATGATGAAAGGGAAATGGCTCTAACAGGGAGTGAGAGACTTGTGTTTATCTCATGCATATCATTACCATTTAAAACAAATGGAGTTTCTGTTGGCTGACATTATTAAAGAAATGGAAGACAAACATCGGCCACTTCTCCTACATTTCTGTGAGTTAGAAAATCATCATATTAAAGAAAGCCGGCAGAGGTCAGCTGTTCGTCTCTCTGTTCGAACCAGAGCACAGAGCAAACAGGTTTGAAGAACTCGTTCATTCTGTTTCCACGGGGAGCTTCTCCTGCATCAGGCGCTGTTTAACGAGGTGACACCGAGTTGAGAAGTTATTCAAACATTGTCTGTTTGCTCTCCGGGCGTTCAGGCTCATAAAGGAGCTGCACTGCTCTTAGGGAAGGGGCTGTTAGCTTCTATAGAGTCCATGCAGACATCCAGCAGTTTGTTATTAGTGGACCCTGAAGGCAGCATCTCCCTGGTTCATTGTGATAGAAAACGTAGGGTCCGTGTCCACATATCACCTGTTTCTAAACGCCAGTGTATTAAAAAAATGTATTCCAATGAGAACCGAGCGCACGCCGCCTCCAGAAAAGTCCAAATGGAAAATAAAACAGAACTAAACAGTCCTATATATACATGTTGACAATGAAAGACACAAATCTGTAGACCAAACTGTTTGGGCTCCTCACTAGAGGTGAGGTAAATCGCCTCTTAACCTGTTAAGCACCTAGCCTGTTTTTCATGTTTCAGGCTCGAAAATGACATGCCCAAAACAAATGACTACAACTTAACTTCTAAAAGGGTTATATGAATAATTTCTTTTATCAAAGCAAGGTTACATCTGTGAGTTGGATGTAGAAGTGTCAGAATCAATATAAATGTTTTTTATTTTAAAGAAAATTCAGATTTTACATAGTAAAAAACTGTAAATTATAGTGTCCGTCCAAAGATTATTTTTTACAGATAGTGAAAACTACCCTTGGATGATGGGTTAGTAGACTAAAAGCTTTAGGAATCCAAAGTACAACATATCATAAGTACCCTGTATCAAGATTGATGCAAAACAAGTGACATTTGACCTTTTTAGAGAGATTTAGCCAAAAAACCCCCCACCTCTGAGGTGATTTGGGTGGAAATGTTTTTTTTTCCATATAATAATAATAATAATAATGGGTTCCATTTATAAAGCACTTCATATTTGATTTCAAATCCCGAAGTGCTACAAGCAGTGAGCATGAACAGTATAAATAGACATTACACAACACGATAGAATTCATAAAAAGCAATACAAAATAAATAAAAGGGTGGTAAAAAGGTCTAGGCAAAGGCTCCATATCTCTGGCCCCCCTTGGTCGATGTTGATGGTTGACACCTCTTTCTGACCGTTAGAGCCAATAGAATGGAAGGGGGAGGCCCCCACACACACATGTTGTGAAGAGAAAAGGTGGGGGCTTCGCGCATGCAATTTAGCATCAGAGTGGACCTATCTCTAGCTCTGACATTTGGAAACAAAAAGCAGTTTTATTGCTTATGGATTATCAGAAATCATTTCAAAGAGGGCACAGACACATTGGATGAACCTATGGATTAACTGCAGCATCGTTTTTTTATCGTTTTAATGCCATTGAAGACCAGTTTTGACCAAGGTAAGCCATGTTAGCGTTTCTAGCTACCTAGCTCCACATGTTCTGATGTACGCTTTCGTTTATAGCGTCGCGAATGTTTATCACTGAGTGTTGAGGTGGGCACACCCAGATTCTGTGTCTCCAGGAGATGCTAATCGATGGGTTGGCTGTGTATCTAGGATAAGTAATAAGGGAGTTATTGTGAGTTTAGGTGCAGAGATAGGTTACATTTTTTCGCAGAGGCTGAGTGTTAGCATTGTGTTTTTTTTTTTTTAAAAGATCAGTTAGCTGAGTTTCTTCCCGTTACATGGATATAAAACATTCATAGTTTATTAAATATTAAGATTCCTTAGACGTTGTTTCCTGCAAACGACGCGTTTATCTGCCCGGTACCGTGGGGGCCGTGCGTAACAGGTTAAGTTGACTTATTCCATTCCTCACTGTTGTGTCTCGTCAAATGTGTTAGTTATGTTTATGTATTATGTCTGTTATTTCACGTCATGTCAGGTCTGTCTGTTTATGTCATTCATCTCTAGTCAAGTCCCCGTGTTTCATGTCGTGTCTCGTTTTCGTTTCATTTTGTACTTACCTCTTCTCTCTCATTTCAGGCCCTGTTACTTCCTCCCTTTGTGTGTTCTCCCGCCCTCGTCAGCGTCTGCCCCGCCCCTGATTGTTTCCACCTGTTCCCACTCACCTCATGTTTAAATAGTCCCATCTTCCCCTGTCCTGTGTCAGTTGGTCTTGTTTGTTTCCACGTATGGTCGTGCCCGGCCTCAGCATATAGAGGATCGATTCCAGTCAAGTCAGGTTGTGATATTTTTTGCCATATTTTGTAAACTTAACCTTAAAGGTTAAAAGGTAAGTTTGAGAAACTGGCTCGAGATACACTTTTTGTTATATTCCATGGAATGCTCTTAACATCCCGATAGCAATGAATATCTGAAGTGCTTTGACAACAAATCCATAAATAAATATCATCAGTGGAAGCTGTAGTACTGTAAAAAGCACGACCAATCATCTGAGCCGGCCCGGCTAAAATAACTGGATGGCCTACCTGCCTGTCAGCCTTCCATCTGTGCACAAACTTATCTCGTGCCCTCATTGGTCATGTGCGCGTTCGTGTGTGTTGGAGGAGGGGCTCTGTAAGGAAGTGGCAGATTTTCTCCGGTTGTGTATTTTCAAACTCTAGCGCACTCGAGCTGTTTCTCCGTTCTTACCTACCCCACCTTTAAGTTCTCTTTTTGTTACGCTTGGTTTTTCCTCCTTGTGAGCGCTTTTTGATTTTTTTGTTCATCGAAATTAAAAGAAATGTTTTCTTACATTCAAGACTGTCTCTGGGTCGTGCATTTGGGTTCTCCAGTTTGTGTCGAGGTCGTGACACTCACACACTTAATGTTTATATAATATCCTGATTTATATTTTGTTACTGTACATTTGTATTTGAACATGTATATTTCTACTTTTTTATGCTATTTTATTTCCATTTGAGACGTTTACATTTTGGATTGTTTATTTCTAGTCTTTTAATTTCTCTAATGTTCAATGCCTTGTCTGTTTATGCTGCTGCAACGCAAACATTTCCCACATTGGGATCAATAAAGAACATCTTATCTTATCTTAAGTTAGCTAAATCAATCAAGAGTAGGTGCATTGAGTTTCTTGAATATCCTTTAAAAACAAAACAGCCCAGCTTTCTGTAGGGTTTCATGTATTCTGTTTCAACAAGTGTTCCCTTAAAGCAGAAGCTACAGATTGCTTATAATGAAAACATGAAGGGTATATTTCATGTTTGTTATGCAAATAAAGTGATTGGGTTTTATTTGGATCAGATAACATTAAATGGATGATACGGCTGTCAGACAGAGCGGTGAAGCATAACAAGTCAAAGAAGAAAAATGAACTTGATGTGTGTTTATAATTATTTTTATATATGTGACGTTTCTAGATAATATTGTTGCATCAAGTTGCATTTGACTGTTGGAGACAATGATGGCTTTTTGTAAAATATTAAAATAATTAGATTCTTTTGTGACTTTCCCCTAACCCCACTTAGTCAGAGATGCTTTGTGCTAAATGGAGCTAAAGCTGCTTATTAACTGTAGTGGAGAATATATAAATATGAAGTAGCATTAAATTGAAATACACCACCGATGTGACGGGAGTAGAAAACCCCCCAACAGCATCAGAGGGTTCAGAGGGTTCAGAGGGTTCAGAGGGTTCAGAGGGTTCAGAGGGTTCACTCCTGTGAGAAAAAGGAACTCACCACCTGGTGTCTTTGAGTGGTTTTAAAGAACGTGTCTCTGTTGTCGCTGCCCAGAAACCTGCAGACACAATCAGAGAAACAACAGATCAAACTCAGTGCGGCTGGCCCATAGGGGGCGATAGAGCCCCCCCTAAACCACACACAACATTATTATTAATAATAATATGAATAATAATACTAATTAATTATATAAATTGTCAATATTTGTGTGTTTAAAATATGATATGCACCCAGAAATATGTGTAAAATATGATTTTAAAATAATTTGCGTATATGCTTTTCCTCCTACACTGTATGACTGAAGCTCTGTGCGGGGGCGATGGAGAGATCGCCCCACGGAGTCTCTGGAGCAGCTTAGCCAATCGCTGAGTCAAGATATGAACGTGTGTCATAAAATGTAACCAATCAGCGTCCTCAAAACTCCTACCGGAGGGGCGATTATTGTATCACCCCAAGTGAGCAACCGATACGCAGCTGGAGGAGGCCCACAGGAGGCGAGGAGACACAATGAGGAGGTGAGGAGACACAATGAGGAGGTGAGGAAACACAATGAGGAGGTGAGGAACACAATGAGGAGGTGAGGAACACAATGAGGAGGTGAGGAGACACAATGAGTGGCTTTTGAGTGGCTTTACTCTTCAGGGGAGGTGGGTTTAGTTTCCTGCACACTGAGCTGGAGGAGCGCCCGAAGACCCCCACCGAGTATAAAGACCACATTGAGTTAAAGAATAATTATTATTAGTTTGTTACATCTTCAGCTTTTTGTATTAAACACTGAGGGCATCGAAGCGGCTTCTCGCAGCCGACAGCACTTCTTACGGCCCGTCCACACAGCAGCGTTAAAAAAATCTTGGAGGTGGGCGTATCTGAAGCTTGGGGATTTTTTGCGAGCAAGGCACCAACAACCAATCACATGAATCTCCTGCCCCCGACATACGAAGCAAAAAAGCCCGAAGTAAACTGGATATAAACTCCCCAAACAGGCGAAGACCTACCACTGTCTCTGCCACCTCCCTCCATGCCTGGCTCCTCCGGTTTGTATCCCGGTAGGTAAATAGGGACTGGTCATAAAGCACCGGGTGATTCCCTACCGCTAATTTCTCCTCCATGTTTTGGACTATGAGGAAATGACCTGCGGTATGTCTCTCCCAGCATACACGCCGTTTGATTGGCTAGAGCTTGAACTGTCAGATTTGCATAAACGGGATTTGATTGGCTGACGCTTCCACCTCAGCCTCAAAAGTTGAACATTGTTCAACTTTGAATCCTGAAAATCCTGAAAATCTCCGCTCTGCTTCCCACAATGCAGTTCGCCGAAAAGTGAGGCAAAGTGACGTCACCCCATTCAAAGTGAATGGGCAGAAGCGTTCCAAGATTTTTTGTCGCTGCTGTGTGGACGGGCCGTTAGAGTCACACTGGGATGTCTGAAATGTCAGCCGACAGCACTTCTTAAAGTCACACTGGGATGTCTGAAATGGATGCACGTGGCCCAGCCCGACCTGGAGATGAACCCAGAGGCTTCCACATTGAACCTCAGTTCATATCTCCCTGCTTTCCTCTCTTCTTCTCATCTGACGCTCAGCGGAGACACAGACTCTCCGTTGTGGCTGAGCTTCTTCAGCGTTTGGTTTCTTCAGCTTTTAGTAAAGGCTGCCATGTCTCCTCAAGCTGCTGGATGTTCTCTAGATGCTGCTATGTCTCCTCAAGGTGCTGAATGTTCTCTAAACGCTGCCATGTCTCCTCAAGCTGCTGGATGTTCTCTAGATGCTGCTATGTCTCCTCAAGGTGCTGAATGTTTCCTAAAGGCTGCCATGTCTCCTCAAGCTGCTGGATGTTCTCTAGATGCTGCTATGTCTCCTCAAGGTGCTGAATGTTCTCTAAAGGCTGCCATGTCTCCTCAAGCTGCTGAATGTTCTCTAAAGGCTGCCATGTCTCCTCAAGCTGCTGGATGTTCTCTAGATGCTGCCATGTCTCCTCAAGCTGCTGAATGTTCCCTAAAGGCTGCCATGTCTCCTCAAGCTGCTGAATGTTCTCTAAAGGCTGCCATGTCTCCTCAAGGTGCTGAATGTTCTCTAAAGGCTGCCATGTCTCCTCAAGGTGCTGAATGTTCTCTAAAGGCTGCCATGTCTCCTCAAGCTGCTGAATGTTCTCTAAAGGCTGCCATGTCTCCTCAAGGTGCTGAATGTTCTCTAAAGGCTGCCATGTCTCCTCAAGCTGCTGAATGTTCTCTAAAGGCTGCCATGTCTCCTCAAGGTGCTGAATGTTCTCTAAAGGCTGCCATGTCTCCTCAAGCTGCTGAATGTTCTCTAAAGGCTGCCATGTCTCCTCAAGCTGCTGAATGTTCTCTAAAGGCTGCCATGTCTCCTCAAGCTGCTGGATGTTCTCTAGATGCTGCCATGTCTCCTCAAGCTGCTGAATGTTCCCTAAAGGCTGCCATGTCTCCTCAAGCTGCTGAATGTTCTCTAAAGGCTGCCATGTCTCCTCAAGGTGCTGAATGTTCTCTAAAGGCTGCCATGTCTCCTCAAGCTGCTGAATGTTCTCTAAAGGCTGCCATGTCTCCTCAAGGTGCTGAATGTTCTCTAAAGGCTGCCATGTCTCCTCAAGCTGCTGAATGTTCTCTAAAGGCTGCCATGTCTCCTCAAGCTGCTGAATGTTCTCTAAAGGCTGCCATGTCTCCTCAAGCTGCTGAATGTTCTCTAAAAGCTGCCATGTCTCCTCAAGCTGCTGAATGTTCTCTAAAGGCTGCGTGTGTTGTTGCTTGAGAGGTTTCTCCATGTGGAACATCTGGGTTCTATATCTGCATCCTTTCTGAAGCAGCTCCTCCTGATGGGAGAGTTCTGGGCTCTTGAGTACTGGCACTTGTTGAACACCGTATTTACACTACATTCACTTTGACACCTCTCACTGTCCCTCAGCGCACATCCTGTGGTGAAGCTCAAAGGTTGCGTTTGAACGTCTTTCTGTATTATTCAGAATGTTAGTTTCTGTTATGGACCCCTCACTGTGAGACGTCTTTCTCTCCTTTATGTCAGAGGACACTTTGGTATTTCTAAAGAGACGTTTGAATGGTCACCTCTGCAGCTTGTTGTTTCTGAACTGACAGGTGTAGAAGTCCGGGGGGGCGTTAGGGACGTCCTGAAGAAAAGGGTTGGGGACGGACAACCGGGACAAAACCTGCGCTGACCAGTTAGTGAACGGAGAGGGGACAACCTGCAGAGGACAGAGGACACACAGAGGACACACTGATGACACACTGAGGACACACTGAGGATGTACTGAGGATATACTGAGGACACACTAAGGACACACTAAGGACACACTGAGGACACACTGAGGATACACTAAGGACACACTAAGGACACACTGAGGATACACTAAGGACACACTAAGGACACACTAAGGATACACTGAGGACACACTAAGGACACACTAAGGATACACTGAGGACACACTAAGGACACACTAAGGACACACTGAGGACACACTAAGGACACACTGAGGATACACTAAGGACACACTAAGGACACACTGAGGACACACTAAGGACACACTAAGGACACACTAAGGACACACTGAGGATACACTAAGGACACACTAAGGACACACTAAGGACACACTGAGGATACACTAAGGACACACTGAGGATACACTAAGGACACACTAAGGACACACTGAGGACACACTGAGGATACACTAAGGACACACTGAGGACACACTGAGGATACACTAAGGACACACTGAGGACACACTAAGGACACACTGATGACACACTAAGGACACACTAAGGACACACTAAGGACACACTGAGGATACACTAAGGACACACTGAGGATACACTGAGGACACTTTGAGGACACACTAAGGACACACTGAGGACACACTAAGGACACACTGATGACACACTAAGGACACACTAAGGACACACTAAGGACACACTGAGGATACACTAAGGACCCACTGAGGATACACTAAGGACACACTGAGGACACACTAAGGACACACTGAGGACACACTAAGGACACACTGAGGACACACTAAGGACACACTGAGGACACACTAAGGACACACTAAGGACACACTAAGGACACACTAAGGACATACTAAGGATACACTGAGGATACACTGAGGACACTTTGAGGACACACTAAGGACACACTAAGGATACACTAAGGACACACTGAGGACATACTAAGGACACACTAAGGACACACTGAGGACACACTAAGGACACACTGATGACACACTAAGGACACACTAAGGACACACTAAGGACACACTGAGGACACACTAAGGACACACTGATGACACACTAAGGACACACTAAGGACACACTAAGGACACACTAAGGACACACTGAGGACACACTGAGGACACACTAAGGACACACTGAGGACACACTAAGGACACACTGAGGACACACTAAGGACACACTGAGGACACACTAAGGACACACTGAGGACACACTAAGGACACACTGAGGACACACTAAGGACACACTGAGGACACACTAAGGACACACTGAGGACACACTGAGGACACACTAAGGACACACTAAGGACACACTGAGGACACACTAAGGACACACTGAGGACACACTAAGGACACACTAAGGACACACTAAGGACACACTAAGGACACACTGAGGACACACTGAGGACACACTAAGGACACACTAAGGACACACTAAGGACACACTAAGGACACACTGAGGACACACTAAGGACACACTGAGGACACACTAAGGACACACTAAGGACACACTAAGGACACACTAAGGACACACTAAGGACACACTAAGGACACACTGAGGACACACTAAGGACACACTGAGGACACACTAAGGACACACTAAGGACACACTAAGGACACACTAAGGACACACTGAGGACACACTAAGGACACACTGAGGACACACTAAGGACACACTGAGGACACACTGAGGACACACTAAGGACACACTAAGGACACACTAAGGACACACTGAGGACACACTAAGGACACACTGAGGACACACTAAGGACACACTAAGGACACACTAAGGACACACTAAGGACACACTGAGGACACACTAAGGACACACTGAGGACATACTAAGGACACACTAAGGACACACTAAGGACACACTGAGGACACTTTCAGGACATGGTTGATTGTAAGGTCCATGTAATGTGATGTCTGACCTGCAGGGGGACTCTGAGGCTGATGTCCTCTGCGTAGAAACAGAGGACACTCCAGGGGGCGTTGAGGAGGACAAAACAGGTCTTTGTCTTCTGCTGAAGGACGTCTCTCTGCGGGGACACGGAAGAGACACTTTTTATTTTACATTTTCTTCTTTAAGAATTTAATTTTTTTTTCTCTATTAAAATCAAGCGTTCTTCTTTGTTGAGATATTGGAACTTTTTCTTTAAAATGTCGCTGAGCATTCAGACGACCTTTTGTGAATGATTCTATTTTTATTGTTGTATTAACATATTTATAAATACATTTTGTTTAATGGACAAATATTCCGACTTTGACAGAATATTGAAACTCTTTTGTTGAAATCTGGTTCCTCAGATTTTTTATATTCAATATATATATTTTTAATATTCATAACTTTTTAATGATGATTTCCAAATGCCTTTAAAACTTTTACAAATAAAATATATATTTACACATTTTTTACAACCTGTTATTTTTTTTAGAATATTCCTTGAAATATATGTTTTTAAAATTGTCATATATTCCATTGTCCCCTCCGTCCCCTCCGTCCTCTCCGTCCCCTCCGTCCCCTCCGTCCTCTCCGTCCCCTCCGTCCCCTCCGTCCCCTCCGTCCCCTCCGTCCCCTCTCTGATCGTCTCTTTCATCATTAAGTGAAAGTAAATAAAACACATCTCAACATTGAATCTATTTTGTTGTTTGACGTTCATTGGAAACCCTTTCTAACGTCACCCAGAAGTAAAAAAACTGACATTAGGCTTTTCTTCCCCTGCGATATGAAAACATACAGGAATTGAAGAAAAGACCGTTTTTTTTTCCCGCAAACCATCCTTTCTTGAACTTTAATGCTCATTGGTATTTTTTTAATTATATTTAACCGGATGAAGGATTTTAGTCCCGGACGTCTGGATCTGAAGTTATCAGAGCAACAAGCTGAGCTAGCTCGGTTAGCAGCGCCGAACTGGAGAAACACATGAAACTATACTTAATTCACTGTTTTGACCTTTAATCACCCGGTCCGTTTGCTTTGGAGATTTGATTGTGATTGGTGGTTTGCTGTCACTCACTAATTACCCCTGACATGAGAGCCGCGTGAGTTTTCCTTTTGTAGCAAGCAGCAAAAATAATTGTAACATGACGTGTTTGAGTTAATTTGCCTACTTAATATCGCAAGTCCTAAAAAATAAATAAAATTATTATTATTATTTATTTTATTAAAAAAATTGCACGTCCACGCGATGTGAATATCGCGCATATCGCGATTATCGTCACGACACGATATATCGTGCAGCCCTACCCAGAAGGATTTATATTTGAGGGTTTTACAGTATGAATACGGACATTCTTCAAGTCTGAATGTTAGCGGGTAAAGCACGGCGCCGCCCTTTAGCATCGACGTAGCGGGCTTTCTACAAACTCCAAAGTCAACACTTGTCTGTGCGTTGTATAAATATCGTGTTGGGCGGGGAAGCCTGGCCTAAAACCAACACAGGACTCTCAAGTCTGATGTTAAACCTTGATTCTTTTGTCTTTAGCATGTCGCTGACGTTAACGCTAACCTCGCCTCAACCGAGCTGGATAGTTTCGTTGCATTGAACTAAATGTACAGATTATTTAAAAATGCTCACAACTAGCGGACATCGAAACTTCTTCCTTTACTGCAAACCGGACGCTCTTAGGGTGACGAGCGCGTCTTGGTTGAGGACACACTAAGGACACTTTCAGGACACACTAAAGACACACTAAGGACACTCTGAGGACACACTGAGGACACACTAAGGACGCTCTGAGGACACACTGAGGACACACTAAGGACACTTTCAGGACACACTAAAGACACACTAAGGACACTCTGAGGACACACTGAGGACACACTAAGGACACTTTTAGGACACACTAAAGACACACTAAGGACACTCTGAGGACACACTGAGGACACACTGAGGACACACAAAGGACACACTGAGGACACACTGAGGACACAATAAGGACACACTAAAGACACACTAAGGACACACAGAGGACACACTAAGGACACACTGAGGACACACTAAGGACGCTCTGAGGACACACTGAGGACACACTAAGGACACACTAAGGACGCTCTGAGGACACACTGAGGACACACAAAGGACACACTAAGGACACACTAAGGACGCTCTGAGGACACACTGAGGACACACTGAGGACGCACTAAGGACACACTAAGGACGCTCTTAGGGTAACGAGCGCGTCTTGGTTGAGGGCACACTAAGGACACTTTCAGAACACACTAAGGACACACTAAGGACACACTGAGGACACACTAAGGACACACTAAGGACACTTTCAGGACACACTAAGGACACACTGAGGACACACTAAGGACACACTGAGGACACACTAAGGACACTTTCAGGACATTTTCAGGACACACTAAGGACACACGGAGGACACACTAAGGACACTTTCAGGACACACCAAGGATACACTGAGGACACACTGAGGACACACTAAGGACACACTGAGGACACACCAAGGACGCTCTTAGGGTAACGAGCGCGTCTTGGTTGAGGGCACACTAAGGACACTTTCAGGACACACTAAGGACACACTAAGGACACACTGAGGACACACTAAGGACACACTAAGGACACACTAAGGACACACTAAGGACACACTGAGGACACACTAAGGACACACTAAGGACACTTTCAGGACACACTAAGGACACACTGAGGACACACTAAGGACACACTGAGGACACACTAAGGACACTTTCAGGACATTTTCAGGACACACTAAGGACACACGGAGGACACACTAAGGACACTTTCAGGACACACCAAGGATACACTGAGGACACACTGAGGACACACTAAGGACACACTGAGGACACACCAAGGACGCTCTTAGGGTAACGAGCGCGTCTTGGTTGAGGGCACACTAAGGACACTTTCAGGACACACTAAGGACACACTAAGGACACACTGAGGACACACTAAGGACACACTAAGGACACACTAAGGACACACTAAGGACACACTGAGGACACACTAAGGACACACTAAGGACACTTTCAGGACACACTAAGGACACACTGAGGACACACTAAGGACACACTGAGGACACACTAAGGACACTTTCAGGACATTTTCAGGACACACTAAGGACACACGGAGGACACACTAAGGACACTTTCAGGACACACCAAGGATACACTGAGGACACACTGAGGACACACTAAGGACACACTGAGGACACACCAAGGACGCTCTTAGGGTAACGAGCGCGTCTTGGTTGAGGGCACACTAAGGACACTTTCAGGACACACTAAGGACACACTAAGGACACACTGAGGACACACTAAGGACACACTAAGGACACACTAAGGACACACTAAGGACACACTGAGGACACACTAAGGACACACTAAGGACACTTTCAGGACACACTAAGGACACACTGAGGACACACTAAGGACACACTGAGGACACACTAAGGACACTTTCAGGACATTTTCAGGACACACTAAGGACACACGGAGGACACACTAAGGACACTTTCAGGACACACCAAGGATACACTGAGGACACACTGAGGACACACTAAGGACACACTGAGGACACACCAAGGACGCTCTTAGGGTAACGAGCGCGTCTTGGTTGAGGGCACACTAAGGACACTTTCAGGACACACCAAGGACACACTGAGGACACACTGAGGACACACTAAGGACACACTAAGGACACACTGAGGACACACTAAGGACGCTCTTAGGGTAACGAGCGCGTCGTGATTTGAGCAAACTGTCAAATTGTTTTTTGGAAAATGTTGAAAATGAAATCTCCTCCCGGCGGTGAGCTCTGTATTTATTAGAAGACATAAATCTCATAGATCTCAAATTAGAACAGAAACGTAAAGATTGTTTTCTTATTTTCTTGTAAAATAATATCTTTGTTTGGAAACAACATCCGGTCAGACGCGTTGGTTCATGTTGGTGTCGAGGGTTGACGTTGTTTAGAGGACGGAACATCACATAAGTATAAATAAATAAATGAATGCATAAATAAACACAATTAAAACAGATATATTGTATTTATTATAAATTATTCCGGTATTTATTTAATTATTCGTGTATTTATAAATACGTGTGTTTATGTTTATTTATTCCTTCCTGTATTTATAAATACGTGTGTTTATGTTTATTTATTCCTTCCTGTATTTATAAATACGTGTGTTTATGTTTATTTATTCCTTCCTGTATTTATAAATACGTGTGTTTATGTTTATTTATTCCTTCCTGTATTTATAAATACGTGTGTTTATGTTTATTTATTCCTTCGTGTATTTATAAATACGTGTGTTTATGTTTATTTATTCCTTCCTGTATTTATAAATACGTGTGTTTATGTATACTCCGGTGATGTTCTGCCTCCATGCAGTTTGACTGCAGGTGTGTTTGTTTCGCTCACCTGCTCCTGCAGCAGTCCGCTGTTTCTCAGCTTCTGCAGGAACACCTGCCTCCACTCCCTGTGGGCGGGGCTTGAACCCTCCTCCACCTGTAAGCTCAGAGGCTCCTCCCACACCAACACAAAGTCTGTCCAATGGGAGCACAGCATTCAGACCATGTGCACACTCACTCTCCTGCTATTGGCTGACTGCTCGGTGATGTCACACAGGGAGAACCTGTTCCTTGTTAAGATTATTCATAATTAAAATCCAACGTTAATCAAACAAAAGCAACAAGGACAGGTGTTTCAGCGCCTTTAGATCTTATATAGAAAGAAGAAACACTACAGCGTACAAACACTTAATGTATTTCTAAATACTATGGACTCACACAATATGGCAATAATATATCACAGCACAAACTCAAAGATTAGCAGCTCAATTACATCTAAATGCATTGATCCAAACCTGCTGCAGCTTCAGAAAGGATGCAGATATAGAACCCCAGATGTTCCACATGAAGAAACCTCTCCAGCAACAACACACGCAGCTTTTAGAGAACATCCAGCAACTTGACAACACATGCAGCTTTTAGAGAACATTCAGCAACTTGAGGAGACATGGCAGCGTTTAGAGAACATTCAGCAACTTGACAACACATGCAGCTTTTAGAGAACATCCAGCAACAACACATGCAGCTTTTAGAGAACATTCAGCAACTTGAGGAGACATGGCAGCGTTTAGAGAACATTCAGCAACTTGACAACACATGCAGCTTTTAGAGAACATCCAGCAACAACACATGCAGCTTTTAGAGAACATTCAGCAACTTGAGGAGACATGCAGTGTTTACTAAAAGCTGCAGAAACCAAACGCTGCAAATACAAAATGCTGAAGAAGCTCAAAACACAACGGGATATGAATTTAAATACACCACGAATCATCATCAGTGTGTTTTTACTCACCGACTCGAGTCGACCCGTCACTGAAGACGTTCCTGTCCGGAGGCTGGACAGGTGCATTCTGGGATTTTGAGACAAAAATCTGGATTTTTAGGATAAAATTGAATTTTGAAAAATATTATTGAATTTTGAGATTTTGAGGGGGGAAAACAAAATCGGAATTTTGAGAATATTTTGAAAAAAGTCAGAATTCTGAGATTTTGAGATCAAATCTTAAAGGGGACCTATCATGCAAAATGCACTTGTGTACGTCGTTTATACATGAAAAACACAACCCTCTCTCTTTTCCTCCATACCCAAATCTCTAAAAACGGGGCTGCAACGGATCTGATACAAACTGATCCAGATTTGAAATTGTTCTGAAGTCAGAAACAGGGAGCTCCGCCTATATGGCCAACTCTCCACCTATCAGGGGAATGGGGGGTTAGGCCACGGCAACGGCCATTGCCGCTCGAAAGCGCTGGAGACGCTGTAGTACATATGCCAGGCCTGTAAGTGGCGCTGTAGTCTGTCACAAAAGCAGCGAAGAAGACTTCTCACAGAATCAGCCCTTGCAAAAACAGGGCTGGAAAAGAGCAAATAGAGCTACATGAGGCATGGCTAAAATGCATGATCTGTTTGGTATTTTGAAAAAAAAACTTCACAGACATGTTTTATATAGGTATGGCCCTACAATATATTATTCAAATATAGCATGATAGGTCCACTTTAATTTGGAGATTGTTGAAAAGGTCAGGGTTTTGAGATTTTTTTTTAGAAAAAGTCAGAATTTTGAGATTTTGAGAAAAATTCTTAATTCTTTTATTTTGGGAAAAAAAAAAAACCTAATTTTGAGAAAAAAATAATAATTTTGAAAAGAAAAAACCTAATTTTTTTATTTTTAGAAATGTCCACATTTTGAGAAGCAGATCAACATTTTGACATTTTCAAAAAAAGGTAAATATTTTCAGGAAATGCCACATTTGCGAAAAACAATGTTCAGAAAAAAGTACAACTTTCAGAATTTGTTGAGAAAGTCAGAATGTTGGGAAACATGAGATTTTCAGAAACTATTTCTTTAGTAATGAAAGGTTGATAAAGCTGACGACGCTATGCAAAGTAATAGCAACTAAACTTTAACAGGAAGAACCAACACAATCCTAAGGTGAGAACACTAGGCTGACCCGTTCCTCGCCTTTTTAGGATAAACATAACGTCCAGTTATTTATTTCCCTTCGCAATCAGCGTGTTTTTATTTAGTCTTGTTGCCATTAATGAGAGCAGATTGGACTCTTCCTGTGATTGTTGTTAATGGAGTAAAACAAAAACCTCGTCACTCAGTCCTTTATAAACAACTCCGCCTCACTTCCTGTTTCCTGCTGCAGCTAAACTCACACAGTCATTCAAAACTGATCTCAGAAACACGTCTTCTTCTAGAGAAGTGTTTTATTTCCCTTTTGATCGGCCGAAAGACGAAGCAACGAAACGAAACGAGCATTTTAAGAGATTGTATGTGTATTTTGAGGAAAGTCTAAGAGTTAATAATAATTAAGTCCATACATACTGATATACTAACAATGTGCTTTAAAACGGTATTTTATGTATTTGTGGGTGATAACTAGTGGTGTGTTATTTATACAGGCCTAAATTCACTCTGTTATTATTTAATATTTTGGGGGGGGGGTTTATTACATATAAGAATGTTGTGGATAAATGTTTTGCAGGGTTATTTTACATATTTGTAAATTACTGTATTTTCCGCAACTAGCTTACGTCAACTATCTTTCTAACTACTTAACTAGATTACATGAGCTCCCTATCACTTAACTAGCTTACGTCAACTATCTTTCTAACTACTTAACTAGCTTACATTAGCTCCCTATCACTCAACTAGCTTACGTTAACTATGTTTCTGACTACTTAACTAGCTTACATTAGCTCCCTATCACTTAACAAGCTTACGTTAACTATGTTTCGAACTACTTAACAAGCTTACATTAGCTCCCTATCACTCAACTAGCTTACGTCAACTATCTTTCTAACTACTTAACTAGCTTACATTAGCTCCCTATCACTCAACTAGCTTACGTTAACTATGTTTCTGACTACTTAACTAGCTTACATTAGCTCCCTATCACTCAACTAGCTTACGTTAACTATGCTTCTGACTACTTAACTAGCTTACATTAGCTCCCTATCACTCAACTAGCTTACGTTAACTATGTTTCTAACTACTTAACTAGCTTACATTAGCTCCCTATCACTCAACTAGCTTACGTTAACTATGCTTCTGACTACTTAACTAGCTTACATTAGCTCCCTATCACTCAACTAGCTTATGTTAACTATGTTTCTAACTACTTAACTAGCTTACATTAGCTCCCTATCACTCAACTAGCTTACGTTAACTATGCTTCTGACTACTTAACTAGATTACATTAGCTCCCTATCACTCAACTAGCTTACGTCAACTATCTTTCTAACTACTTAACAAGATTACATTAGCTCCCTATCACTCAACTAGCTTACGTTAACTATGCTTCTGACTACTTAACTAGCTTACATTAGCTCCCTATCACTTAACTAGCTTACGTCAACTATCTTTCTAACTACTTAACTAGCTTACATTAGCTCCCTATCACTCAACTAGCTTACGTTAACTATGTTTCTGACTACTTAACTAGCTTACATTAGCTCCCTATCACTCAACTAGCTTACGTTAACTATGCTTCTGACTACTTACCTAGCTTACATTAGCTCCCTATCACTCAACTAGCTTACGTTAACTATGTTTCTAACTACTTAACTAGCTTACATTAGCTCCCTATCACTCAACTAGCTTACGTTAACTATGCTTCTGACTACTTAACTAGCTTACATTAGCTCCCTATCACTCAACTAGCTTACGTCAACTATCTTTCTAACTACTTAACAAGATTACATTAGCTCCCTATCACTCAACTAGCTTACGTTAACTATGCTTCTGACTACTTAACTAGCTTACATTAGCTCCCTATCACTCAACTAGCTTACGTTAACTATGTTTCTAACTACTTAACTAGCTTACATTAGCTCCCTATCACTCAACTAGCTTACGTTAACTATGTTTCTGACTACTTAACTAGATTACATTAGCTCCCTATCACTCAACTAGCTTACATTAGCTCCCTATCACTTAACAAGCTTACGTTAACTATGTTTCTGACTACTTAACAAGCTTACATTAGCTCCCTATCACTCAACTAGCTTACATTAGCTCCCTATCACTCAACTAGCTTACGTCAACTATGTTTCTGACTACTTAACAAGCTTACATTAGCTCCCTATCACTTAACAAGCTTACGTTAACTATCTTTCTAACTACTTAACTAGCTTACATTAGCTCCCTATCACTCAACTAGCTTACGTTAACTATGCTTCTGACTACTTAACTAGCTTACATTAGCTCCCTATCACTCAACTAGCTTACGTTAACTATGTTTCTGACTACTTAACAAGATTACATTAGCTCCCTATCACTTAACAAGCTTACGTTAACTATCTTTCTAACTACTTAACTAGCTTACATTAGCTCCCTATCACTCAACTAGCTTACGTTAACTATGCTTCTGACTACTTAACTAGCTTACATTAGCTCCCTATCACTCAACTAGCTTACGTTAACTATGTTTCTGACTACTTAACAAGATTACATTAGCTCCCTATCACTCAACTAGCTTACGTTAACTATGTTTCTGACTACTTAACAAGATTACATTAGCTCCCTATCACTCAACTAGCTTACGTCAACTATGTTTCTGACTACTTAACAAGCTTACATTAGCTCCCTATCACTTAACAAGCTTACGTCAACTATGTTTCTGACTACTCAACTAGCTTACATTAGCTCCCTATCACTTAACAAGCTTACGTTAACTATGTTTCTGACTACTTAACAAGCTTACATTAGCTCCCTATCACTCAACTAGCTTACGTCAACTATGTTTCTGACTACTTAACTAGCTTACATTAGCTCCCTATCACTCAACTAGCTTACGTTAACTATGTTTCTGACTACTTAACTAGCTTACATTAGCTCCCTATCACTCAACTAGCTTACGTTAACTATGTTTCTGACTACTTAACTAGCTTACATTAGCTCCCTATCACTCAACTAGCTTACGTTAACTATGTTTCTGACTACTTAACTAGCTTACATTAGCTCCCTATCACTCAACTAGCTTACGTCAACTATCTTTCTAACTACTTAACAAGCTTACGTTAACTATCTTTCTAACTACTTAACTAGCTTACATTAGCTCCCTATCACTCAACTAGCTTACGTCAACTATGTTTCTGACTACTTAACTAGCTTACATTAGCTCCCTATCACTCAACTAGCTTACGTTAACTATGTTTCTGACTACTTAACTAGCTTACATTAGCTCCCTATCACTCAACTAGCTTACGTCAACTATCTTTCTAACTACTTAACAAGCTTACGTTAACTATCTTTCTAACTACTTAACTAGCTTACATTAGCTCCCTATCACTCAACTAGCTTACGTCAACTATGTTTCTGACTACTTAACTAGCTTACATTAGCTCCCTATCACTTAACAAGCTTACGTTAACTATGCTTCTGACTACTTAACTAGCTTACATTAGCTCCCTATCACTTAACAAGCTTACGTTAACTATGCTTCTGACTACTTAACTAGCTTACATTAGCTCCCTATCACTTAACAAGCTTACGTTAACTATGTTTCTGACTACTTAACTAGCTTACATTAGCTCCCTATCACTCAACTAGCTTACGTTAACTATGCTTCTGACTACTTAACTAGCTTACATTAGCTCCCTATCACTTAACAAGCTTACGTTAACTATGTTTCGAACTACTTAACTAGCTTACATTAGCTCATATCTAGCTAGCTTTGGTGTGAATTGTGTGAATTATTATTTAACACCCCATGAAGAGACTCGCAGTGTGGTCATGTGTCTACCGTCCCGATAGCCGATTGGCTCATTATTGATCGTGTCGGTTACCGTGGCGACGCTGCCGTAGTTTTTCTCCGCCTCAGTTTCCATGGCGATGAGCGTGTCGCTGTCCTCCCTCGCCTCGCCTCGACGCCTCATCCTCCTGCAGGAACAACCTTATCCATCATTAATAATATCTACTAGAGTCCTATGAGAAAAAGTATGTGTTGTTATTATAAAACGATCAATATTTTTCTAAGATTAAATCAGATATATATATTTTTTAAATCGTACATTCCCTGAGATGAATGTGGTTTATTGATGAGTAAATAACTTGACTGTTCCCAGGTCACAGTCGTACTGTATATTTAAGAGAAAATAACTTGGATAATATCTGAGATTAAATTCAATTCTGGGAAAAAAAAATCTAATATTTTCGGATATTAAATCTGACATTCACGAAAAAATACGTAGATATTCTAATTAAAGCGGTAAAAGTATGAGAAATATTTTGGGGGAGATTTAAATCATACATTTACTAGAAAATGTGATATTTGTGGATATTTTTCCAATATTAAATAATTAATTTATAAGAAAAAGAGATTAATTTGCTTAAATGACGAGAAAAAAACTCAGATATTTTCTGATCTTAAATCAGACAATTACTTGAAAAAACACAGATATTTCTTTGAGATTTAGCTCATATATGTATAAGAAATAAACGTAGATATTCTCCCAGGATTAAATAATGTATTAATAAGAAATATATGACATTAAGGGGTTAATTGATGAGTAAATAACTTGACTGTTCCCAGATTACAATCGTACATATACGAGAAATAATTTGGATAATATCTGAGATAAAATGTAATTCTGAGAAAAACTATCTACAGCCATTTCTATTATCCAAGGTTATCTTATCCATTACTTTTCTTTTAGAACTTGCTCAAATGTATCAAAAACAATGCCTTAAGAAAACACGAATAATACGTAATATTTTCGGTTATTATCAATCAATCAATGTTTATTTATATAGCCCAATATCACAAATGTTACATTTGTCTCAGTGGACTTCACAGTTTGTACAGAATATCAGTGACAATACGACACCCTCTGTCCTTAGACCCTCTGTCCTTAGACCCTCTGTCCTTAGACCCTCACATCGTACAAGGAAAAACTTCCGGAAAAACTTCCGAAGAAAACCCACAGTTTATTAAATCTGACATTCACGAATAAAAACGTTGATATTCTACGAGATTAAAGTGGTACATTTACAAGAAAAAAGGTAGATATTTTTTAAGTGGAAAATGTATGAGGAAAACTTGACTGTTCTCAGATTACCGTCATAAAGTTATTATAATGAATCTCAAAGAATATCTTCTCGTCATTCTGTACTTTTATTTCTTGTGAATATACAACTTGAATCTCAGAGAATATTCACGTTTTTTGTGGTGCTTTTTTTTCTGCCGTAATATTTTCTTACGGCGTGTTATTAGTACTTTTAATGAAGTAGCATTGAACACTAACTGAGTATTTGACAGTGTACTTATAGTACTTTTACTGCAGTTACATTTGAGTATGTTCACACTGTGTAAGGTATAGAGTATTAGACAAGAACAGCGGAGACACGTTTTAATAAATAAACTAAAGAATGTAGAAAGTAGAAACTTCCTCCTGCAGAAGGACTTACCTGCAGCCCGGAGCAAATACTGTGTCTGTGTGTGTGTGTGTGTGTGTGTGTGTGTGTGTGTGTGTGTGTAAGCCCCGCCCCCATGTAAGCCCCGCCCCCTGCATCCGTGTCTCCACCAAAAACAAACACTCACCTGCAGTTTAAAAAAAAAAATGTATCTTAAAAATGATAATTAAACCCAAAAGTTACTTCAGTGAAATCTGAATAATATTTCAAATACTCTATGGTGTTATTAAAGTAATCATAATATTGGTAATAAAAAATGTATATCAAAGACTGCATTTACTTTATGTTTACATGCTGTACTATATTATTACATTACATTACATCACATGTCATTTGTTAGATGCTTTTATCCAAAGAGACTTACATACTCAATACTGTGGACAATCCCCACAGGAGCACTTTGGGGTGAAGTGTCTCAGGGACACAACGACATGCTGACTGCAGTGGGGTTTGAACCTGTGCTCCCTGATCCCAACACCAACGCACTAGGCCACTGCGCCACACGCCTCCCGGCATACATCCAGTGTATTTTATTTATAATGTGTATTCTATGGATACTATGGAATATATATTCTGTGTATTTTAACTCGTGTGTGATGCCTTGTTAACTGTAATAATACATAATAAAGTACATCTAATGAAACAATCTGTGTAACTTTAATCTGCGAGGAGAAGAAACATCGAACACAATAAAATGACTAATATTTAAAATCATTATTTTACTTTGTATTTCAGAAGTTAATATCATGCTTTATATTATAAAAAACATATATCTAAAAACTCAAGATTGAACGTTCTTTTACTTTGAAGGTCTGTGTATTATGGGATGTTTAATAATGAGAGAGACCTTTGGGTTTTATTTTGTTTATTATGTTTGTAACGCAGCGCTCTGATTGGACGAGAGCACACAGGGATTCAACAAGCTGAAGTTTATCCTACTGTACACACACACACACACACACACACACACACACACACACACACACACACACACACACACACACACACACACACACACACACACACACACACACACACACACACACACACACACACACACACACACACACACACACACACACACACACACACACACACACACACACACACACACACACACACACACACACACACACACACACACACACACATCTTTGGCAGGAAGCAGCTTCTTCCTCTGCTGAACAAACATCGACACACAAGGAGCTGCACGGGACAGTGATGTCATCAAGAGGCGGCGCACAGACACACGCACACACACGCGCACACACACGCACACAGTGTTTAACCAGCTCCTCCTGCTGTCACTGCACTGAACAGCAGCAACACTAGTGGATTGTGGGTAATGTAGTTGAGGTAACATGTCTTTAAACTAACTGATGATAATCTGATAATCTGTAGCGCTTTAATCTTCACTAAATATTATATTTAAATACTTTAATTATTTCATAAACTGTAACTCTCGAGTCGTGTGATGTTCAGGGTCCTTTTCTAAAAGTTAAACATTTGAGAGTTTAGGGGAAACAATTCAAATAAAAACAAAAGCTAATACTTTTTTACACCACACACGTTTTAGTTCCTGAACGCCACCTGTTTAAATGAGTCCCTCAAAGCCCCATGTCAATGTTGGTTCCTGAACGCCCCATGGTCCTTTTAGTCTCTGAACGCCCCATGATCCTTTTAGTCCCTGAACGCCCCATGACCTTTGTCTCTGAACACTTTCTTAATCTGCATTAAAATGCCGTACATTTTCAGGGACGTTTAAGGGGATAATAAATACTAATATTTAGATGATGTCATATTAAGGATTCATTAATGGAATTAATCAAATCAAGGCATTATAATTAAAATGATAGGCAACATTACAAATTGCGTTTTCAAATAATTCGATTTAAGGCGTTAAATTGAACAAATAAAATAAACATATTAAGGTCATTTTAATGGGATGTTAAGGAGAAAATTAATTTATATGCAAAGTTTAAAAACATTTAAAGGGTATTAACAACTCTTTATATGGACTAAATATCATTAAAGCCATTCCTTAATTCAAACCTTAAAAATGCTTTTAATATTTTAATGGTATTTGGTCAATTTTAGGGTGTTTTACTCCTACATATAATTAATCTAAAGCCAATGGGTTTTATATGAGATGATCTGCATGGATTTAAGTACATATTAAGGGTAAAGAAATCCTTTAAAATGACCGAATACCATGAAAGCCATTCATAAATCTATGCTATAAAATACTCTTAAAATAAAGGGGAGAGTTTTTATGGTATTTGGTCAAATTTCGGGTTTTATTATTCCTTAAAAGCCCCGAAAATCACACGAATTACCGATTTAAACCCTTTAATACTTTCATTTAATGGGGGAAGTGAATGGGTTGTTGTAGATCAGTTGATCTGCGTGGTTTAATTTCTTAAAATGTATTACTTTATACCTAAAAATAATCCACTTAAATCTTTAATAATATGTCACAGTATAATGATTTGATTTATCAACCTTTTAAATGTTTAACCCCCAAAAACTTTGCCCTAAAAGTCCCTTAATTGAATAATTAATCAGATGGTGATGTCACAGTTCAAATTTGTTTGAGGTCATCACAGTGATGTCATCAGAGAGAGCGCTTTCTCACAATACACAAGTACACACACACACACACACGAACCAAAGCCCATTAATAATAATAACAATAATAATTAATATCGGTGATAAAGCAGAAATCAGCAACATCGTCCCATGTGACTTCCTCTTCATCACTAACGTCTTCATCGTCAATCCTTCGTGTGAAGTCTGTTTCATTTCCAGACAGGAAGTCAGTCCGACCGTCTCTAATTAATAGATTTATATTAACAGGAGAAACTGAAGGTTACACCCCCAACGCACACCTGAAAACCTCCAGATAACCTCCAGATAACCTCCAGATAACCTCCACTAATTAAGACACTAGCCGTTTGTTACCGAAGGATATATTTTTAAGTTTCCTGACTAATTAAAACCTCCAGATAACCTCCAGATAACTTCAAGATAACCCCCTCTAATTAAGACACAAGCCGTTTGTTAACGAAGGATATATTTTTAAGTTTCCTGACTAATTAAAACCTCCAGATAACCTCCAGAGAACCCTGCGATAACTTCCTCTAATTAAGACTCCTGCCATTTGTTAACGAGGATATATTTGTACGTTTCCAGACTAATCAACCCCTCTTAGCTCCGTCTACCAGACCTCACAGCGCCCCCCGGTGTTCATGGGCGTCCCTACGGGGCAGTTGAAATGGCGGCTGAAGTCTGGAGAGTTGGCGAGCGTGCCGATGACCCGGTATCGGGGGGGGCTGTGGGGGTCGGTCACTAAACCCTCGTGAGCGCTCTCCGGTGTCCGCACTGAACACCACACCTGAAAGAAGTGAAAAAACTAAATTTAAAATTGTCCATAAAATTACTTTTTCTTGTTTAAAGTAAACAAAACATATTGACGGTAGGTGTTTGTCAGTATATTTGAAATGACTAGGTTAGCTACGTTAGCTAGCTAGCTTACAGCAGATCTGCAAAAATATCAGAAGGAGTCATGTGATCACATTGTAAAAATAATCCAATAAAACATTTGAGGGAAGTTAGTGAAAAATCGTAATTCCTTCATTTAAAAATTCATATTGTTATTCGGTAGATATCCGAACTAAAACAGTTGCGTTGACGCTGAAAACATGTGTTCAGACCAATAAAGCAGCTTTGAGAACAGCTTTAGTGTCTTTAACATCTTATGAATTATCCCTCCGTTGTACATACATCAGCGTGTGATCAGCATATAACTTCAGGTTGCTTCAAAAGGAACTGAAGTGGCCCCAGCATGTCGCCCTGTGGGATTCCGCTTCTCCGTAAAAGCTATCTGAGGTTGTTTTTGTTTGTCTCACCTGAGCAAAACCAACAAAGAAAAGCTGATCGTTGGTCAGGTTAACGGCAGGAAGTCTCTTCTCCTCTCCGTTCTTCTGCACCCACGACCGATAAGCCTGAAAAGAAAACATCGAGTTAGTCGTGCTGATGTAAGATAGGTAAAAAAACTACACTGATGCTTTACTTCAGTAACGTAGCAGCACTAAATGCAAAAATACTATGTAAAAGTCCTGCAACCAAAAAGTACTTTCATAAATGCACTTTTTGACACTCATACGGTCGTAGCGTTCATACTCACGTTGTACGCAGCCTTCAGTCCTCCGTTGTCGGCGATGTTTTCTCCGAGCGTCTGTTTTCCATTGACGTGTTCTCCGTTGACGGTGTAGCGGCTGTACTGATCCGTCATGCACTCGGTTCTCTCACGAAACGCCTCCACCGACGAGTTCTGCCACCACGGCCGCAAGTTCCCTTCTTTATCGTACTCGCGACCTGCGGGGGGAGGAAGGACGTCTTCATTAACAGGAAGTGAGCTCATTAACTCGTTAAAACACTGTGGGCTGCCAGGGATATTGGTTTTACTCTGCATAACGTCACCAGCTTTATCAACCAACTTACCAAAGACAGACCATTTTCTTTTTCAGAGCCAGTATCAGAATACCTTTATTTGTCTCACAGAGGGGAATATGTGCATTTGTTACAGCAAGATAGGAGCCAACGACTGCTTAATATTAACTAAGAAGCATGAAAAAAAAATTAAATTATAATAAATAAAAGATTACACAATTTTTTATTTTTAGCTTTTGAATGAACTGTTATTAAATTAAAACAGTTTTTAAGAAGATAAACTAACTATTTATATAACTTATATGTGATTACTTTATCCAAAAACGTGTATTTGAGACACAGGTCCACACTGTCTAACCATAAGGGGTTAAATAATAACTCATATTTAAATTAAAACAATGTTTTTATAATGACTCTCTCTGCTGAACGTAGGCCCTTTAATATGTAATTGTTAGGCTGTAAACAACATGGATGTTTAATAAGAACTGGATCCAGTGTCGGAGGCCTCGTTCTTTCCTATGAGAGCTGCTCATTGGCGCATGAGGACAAAATGGTCAGACATTCGAGAGCAAAACGTCACAGATTACCCATCATGCCTGGATGTCAGAGCAGAAGAACCCGTATGTAGCTCATATACCCCTTTCACACCAACGCGGTTCCAGGGCCGGTTCGGAGCTGGAGCTTGAAAAGCACCGTTTCTTCCTGTTCACACCGCAGCGGAGCAGCCTCTAAGCTCCGGAATCCGGTTCGTTTCGAGCACCAAAAAGTTGTCCGTCTAGAAGCAAGAACCGCATACGTCACGCTTACGTCGGAGGGGGGCGAGATTAACCTGAGCTAACAGTTAAGGCGAGTACGGCAAATAAAAGTTGTAACAAGCAGTAGCGCTGAGCAAAGTGACGCAACCACACACTTATAAAAAAAAAACACGCTTTATAAAGTCAGGCAACACTAACCAGGCTTCGTGTGATTCTGTTTATTTGTACCTTACTTTGACCATCCGTTCGCTGTTATTGATCATTGTGGAGAGCAGGCAGACGTTTGTTATTATAGCAGCTATCGGATGGAATCAATACATGGGCTGCACAGGTTGTCATGTCCGACTATCACAAGTAGAATCATAATGAAAAATACGCCGGTAAAATGTGCCTGTAGAAAACGGCTTAGCAAGTAGTCAGTTTAGCTTCGGTTGCTATGCTAACATCACCCATGTTATACCAGAGAAACTTTCATAACAGCGTTGTGATGCCAAACAGCGTGAATTCAGACTGACACACATTCACTTAAGGGGAACTGGGGATATGTATCAGCTGCTTGTGTGACAGTCAGACAGTGAATACTTTAGAGCCGTGTGAGCTAACCCGGAGCTAACGGGAGAATAAACTCCCGTGGAAGAGCAGCCAGCACTGCAGCGGTCGCTAAATGAAACACATTAATAAACAATGAACCACGGCACTCTGGAGAAAAGTATAAGGTTGGAGAAGTCCTTATTTAATTTAATCTGGCTTCGTATGATTAAAAGCAACACGATCATCGACCCGACGCAGTCCCCGGCCCGTTGTTGTTGTAGTTAGTTAGTTGTTGTTGGGGAGCAAATCAGCGAAGTAAACTGTGACGTCATGACGCAGCAGCGGCAGCACCAGTCGGGCTCTGAGCGGTGTGAACAGAGCGGGAGCAGAACCGAAGAACCGGTTCTGAACCAGAAAAGCTCTAGCACGGAGCTAGAACGGGAAAAGCCTTGGTGTGAAAGGGGTAATAGAGCGCAGTTGAGTTGCCCTTTAAGCCCCGCCTCCTGTCATTAAGCCCCGCCCCCGATCTCCCACTCTCGGCTCAGTAGAATGAATGGAGAGAGAAAATAAATCTGGATTCAGCTTTTAGCGCATTTTGCAACTTTAAGGACCGAATGATTCTAAAAAGGGCTATAGAAAGTATCCTCTGATTTACAGACGTCTCTTTCTCATGTTAGTCAATGGGGAAAAGTATTTCTGGGCCCAGTGACGTCACCGACTGATACGGAAGTTGTAGTACCGCCGTTTGGCCACTGCGAATATTTTCTTCAGAGTCGAGAGCACTTCCTCTGGGTTTGGTACACACAGCAGGAAGTGACCATGTGGCAGGAAGTGAACTCACCCTGATCATCGAAGGCGTGCGTGAGCTCGTGACCCATCACCACCCCGATCCCCCCGAAGTTCAACGCCCTGAAAACACACACATTACACAACGCCTCATTAGCATATTTAAACACAACACGTCATAAAACTTGTTTAATATTGGACCCTGCAGTGTGTAAAGCTGCTCTACAGGTGAGTTAGACAGGTGAGCATGGTGAGACAGGTGAGACAAGTGAGACAGGTGAGACTAGTGAGACAGGTGAGACAAGTGAGACAGGTGGTTGTGGAACAAAGTTGGGGTGGTCTGATATCTACATGTTGAATATTTGACCCCCCTGTAGTGTGTTATGCTGCAGGTGAGAGAGACAGGTGAGACAGGTGAGAGAGAGACTTGTAAGACAGGTGAGAGACACAAGTGAGACAGGTGAGACAGGTGAGAGAGGGACAGGAGAGAGAGACAGGTGAGACAGGTGAGAGAGGGACAGGTGAGAGAGACAGGTGGATATATGTCATCATAGTGGATGTGGAACAGACTTGGGGTGGGGTGATATCTACATGTTGAATATTTAACCCCCCTGTGTTGTGTTATGCTGCAGGTGAGAGAGACAGGTGAGACAGGTGAGAGAGAGACAGGTGAGAGAGACAGGTGAGACAGGTGAGAGAGACAGGTGAGACAGGTAAGACCGGTGAGACAGGTAAGAGAGAGACAGGTGAGACAGGTGAAAGAGAGACAGGTGAGAGAGACAGGTGAGACAGGTGAGAGAGAGACAGGTGAGAGAGACAGGTGAGACAGGTGAGACAGGTGAGAGAGACAGGTGAGACAGGTAAGACCGGTGAGACAGGTAAGAGAGAGACAGGTGAGACAGGTGAGACAGGTGAAAGAGAGACAGGTGAGAGATACAGGTGATACAGGTGAGAGAGACAGGTGAGAGAGACAGGTGAGAGAGAGACAGGTGAGAGACACAGGTGAGAGAGACAGGTGAGAGAGAGACAGGTGAGAGAGACAGGTGAGAGAGACAGGTGAGAGACACAGGTGAGAGACACAAGTGAGAGACAGGTGAGAGACACAGGTGAGAGAGACAGGTGAGAGACAGGTGAGAGACAGGTGAGAGACACAGGTGAGAGACACAGGTGAGAGACACAGGTGAGAGACACAGGTGAGAGACACAGGTGAGAGAGACAGGTGAGAGACAGGTGAGAGACACAGGTGAGAGACACAGGTGAGAGAGACAGGTGAGAGAGACAGGTGAGAGACACAGGTGAGAGAGACAGGTGAGAGACACAGGTGAGAGACACAGGTGAGAGAGACAGGTGAGAGAGACAGGTGAGAGACACAGGTGAGAGAGACAGGGTGAGAGACAGGTGAGAGACACAGGTGAGAGACACAGGTGAGAGAGACAGGTGAGAGAGACAGGTGAGAGACACAGGTGAGAGAGACAGGTGAGAGAGACAGGTGAGAGACACAGGTGAGAGACACAGGTGAGAGAGACAGGTGAGAGACACAGGTGAGAGAGAGACAGGTGAGAGAGAGACAGGTGAGAGACACAGGTGAGAGAGACAGGTGAGAGAGACAGGTGAGAGACACAGGTGAGAGAGACAGGTGAGAGAGAGACAGGTGAGAGACACAGGTGAGAGACACAGGTGAGAGAGACAGGTGAGAGACACAGGTGAGAGAGAGACAGGTGAGAGAGAGACAGGTGAGAGACACAGGTGAGAGAGACAGGTGAGAGAGAGACAGGTGAGAGAGAGACAGGTGAGAGACACAGGTGAGAGAGACAGGTGAGAGAGACAGGTGAGAGAGACAGGTGAGAGACACAGGTGAGAGAGACAGGTGAGAGGACAGGTGAGAGAGACAGGTGAGGAGAGACAGGTGAGAGAGACAGGTGAGAGAGACAGGTGAGAGACACAGGTGAGAGAGACAGGTGAGAGAGACAGGTGAGAGAGACAGGTGAGAGAGAGACAGGTGAGAGACACAGGTGAGAGACACAGGTGAGAGAGACAGGTGAGAGAGACAGGTGAGAGAGACAGGTGAGAGAGACAGGTGAGAGACACAGGTGAGAGACACAGGTGAGAGAGAGACAGGTGAGAGAGAGACAGGTGAGAGACACAGGTGAGAGAGACAGGTGAGAGAGACAGGTGAGAGACACAGGTGAGAGAGACAGGTGAGAGAGACAGGTGAGAGAGACAGGTGAGAGACACAGGTGAGAGAGACAGGTGAGAGAGACAGGTGAGAGAGACAGGTGAGAGAGACAGGTGAGAGACACAGGTGAGAGAGACAGGTGAGAGAGACAGGTGAGAGAGACAGGTGAGAGAGACAGGTGAGAGACACAGGTGAGAGAGACAGGTGAGAGAGACAGGTGAGAGACACAGGTGAGAGAGACAGGTGAGAGAGACAGGTGAGAGAGACAGGTGAGAGAGAGACAGGTGAGAGAGACAGGTGAGAGACACAGGTGAGAGACACAGGTGAGAGAGACAGGTGAGAGAGAGACAGGTGAGAGAGACAGGTGAGAGAGACAGGTGAGAGACACAGGTGAGAGAGACAGGTGAGAGAGACAGGTGAGAGACACAGGTGAGAGAGACAGGTGAGAGAGACAGGTGAGAGACACAGGTGAGAGAGACAGGTGAGAGACACAGGTGAGAGAGACAGGTGAGAGACACAGGTGAGAGAGACAGGTGAGAGACACAGGTGAGAGAGACAGGTGAGAGACACAGGTGAGAGACACAGGTGAGAGAGACAGGTGAGAGACAGGTGAGAGACACAGGTGAGAGACAGAGGTGAGAGAGACAGGTGAGAGAGACAGGTGAGAGACACAGGTGAGAGAGACAGGTGAGAGACACAGGTGAGAGACACAGGTGAGAGAGACAGGTGAGAGACACAGGTGAGAGAGACAGGTGAGAGAGACAGGTGAGAGAGACAGGTGAGAGAGACAGGTGAGAGAGAGACAGGTGAGAGAGAGACAGGTGAGAGACACAGGTGAGAGACACAGGTGAGAGAGACAGGTGAGAGAGAGACAGGTGAGAGAGACAGGTGAGAGAGACAGGTGAGAGACACAGGTGAGAGAGACAGGTGAGAGAGACAGGTGAGAGACACAGGTGAGAGAGACAGGTGAGAGAGACAGGTGAGAGACACAGGTGAGAGAGACAGGTGAGAGACACAGGTGAGAGAGACAGGTGAGAGACACAGGTGAGAGACACAGGTGAGAGAGACAGGTGAGAGACACAGGTGAGAGACACAGGTGAGAGAGACAGGTGAGAGACAGGTGAGAGACACAGGTGAGAGACACAGGTGAGAGAGACAGGTGAGAGAGACAGGTGAGAGACACAGGTGAGAGAGACAGGTGAGAGACACAGGTGAGAGACACAGGTGAGAGAGACAGGTGAGAGAGACAGGTGAGAGACACAGGTGAGAGACACAGGTGAGAGACACAGGTGAGAGAGACAGGTGAGAGACACAGGTGAGAGAGACAGGTGAGAGACACAGGTGAGAGAGACAGGTGAGAGACACAGGTGAGAGACACAGGTGAGAGAGACAGGTGAGAGAGACAGGTGAGAGACACAGGTGAGAGAGACAGGTGAGAGAGACAGGTGAGAGACACAGGTGAGAGACACAGGTGAGAGAGACAGGTGAGAGAGACAGGTGAGAGACACAGGTGAGAGACACAGGTGAGAGAGACAGGTGAGAGACACAGGTGAGAGAGACAGGTGAGAGACACAGGTGAGAGAGAGACAGGTGAGAGAGACAGGTGAGAGAGACAGGTGAGAGAGACAGGTGAGAGAGAGACAGGTGGATATATGTCATCATAGTGGATGAGGAACAGACTTGGGGTGGTCGTGGGCGTAGAAAGGAGCCTGCAGGATCCCGGCGGGGAAGACGATGCCATTCTTAGTGGGCATGTAGTAGGCATTAACTGTGGGGGGGGGTCATACTCCACCTGAGGGAGGGGAGGAGGGAGGAGAGGAAGCAAGGAGACAAGGAGAGGAGATGAGGAGATAATCGATGTCCTACCAGTGCGACAACAATCCCAGAAGTCATATATGGAATCTGATGCAATTTATTCTGTTATATTGAACTAAAATACACAGTACTTTTAAATGGAGGTTAAGTGTGTGTGTGTGTGTGTGTGTGTGTGTGTGTGTGTGTGTGTGTGTGTGTGTGTGTGTGTGTGTGTGTGTGTGTGTGTGTGTGTGTGTGTGTGTGTGTGTGTGTGTGTGTGTGTGTGTGTGTGTGTGTGTGTATTACTGGTCTTTGTTGGGGGTCTTCCTCAGCTGGTCGGCCATCACTCGGGAGGAGAAGTTGTAGAAGTTGAGCATGTTCATGAAGAAGCTGTCGTACGACACCTCGTACTGAAACACAAGATACCGGGTTTATCACCACGACTTAGGAAGGGTATAAAACATAAACAATATGTAAAACATTTCAAATATAAGAAGACGGCGACACACTCACCCCGTCGTACACGTCGTCCAGCTCTTTGGGGTCCAGGATGAATTCTGGGAAACCGATCATATCGTAGATGGCGTCGGCCTAACGAAACAAACAGGAACCAATCAGCAGAGACACCTGGGAACACCTGGACACTGCTTTAATCCCCTGATGATCTACAGGTGGTGCGTTCAAACCCTACTCTACACAGATCATGTGACCGGTTTCACTAGGCTACTTTTATCTGACAGCTCGGAGAACCATAGCTTCAACTCAGGGAGGAGTCCAGGTGAAATATTATGAAATACCAGTCAAGATATTCATTTCATTATTGGGTTTACGTGTGTGTGTGTGTGTGTGTGTGTGTGTGTGTGTGTGTGTGTGTGTGTGTGTGTGTGTGTGTGTGTGTGTGTGTGTGTGTGTGTGTGTGTGTGTGTGTGTGTGTGTGTGTGTGTGTGTGTGTGTGTGTGTGTGTGTGTGTGTGTGTGTGTGTGTGTGTGTGTGTGTGTGTGTGTGTGTGTGTACCTTGTCTTTGGCAGCCCGTTTGGTGTGTGGGTCCATCCAGCCCAGGCGGTCCAGAGCGCCTTTAAACGCCGAGCGGATCTCATTAATCATCTCCTCGGCCTGAGAGAGAAACACAAGATGAGCCTCACTCTCAACGTTCTTCACTATCAACGTTCTATCAACGTTCTTCACTCTCAGCGTTCTTCACTCTCAGCGTTCTATCAACGTTCTTCACTATCAACGTTCTATCAACGTTCTTCACTATCAGCGTTCTATCAGCGTTCTTCACTATCAACGTTCTATCAACGTTCTTCACTATCAACGTTCTATCAACGTTCTTCACTCTCAGCGTTCTTCACTATCAACGTTCTATCAACGTTCTTCACTCTCAGCGTTCTATCAACGTTCTTCACTCTCAGCGTTCTATCAACGTTCTTCACTCTCAGCGTTCTATCAGCGTTCTTCACTCTCAGCGTTCTATCAACGTTCTTCACTATCAACGTTCTATCAACGTTCTTCACTCTCAGCGTTCTTCACTATCAACGTTCTATCAACGTTCTATCAACGTTCTTCACTATCAACGTTCTATCAACGTTCTTCACTGTCAGCGTTCTATCAACGTTCTTCACTGTCAGCGTTCTTCACTGTCAGCGTTCTTCACTCTCAGCGTTCTTCACTATCAACGTTCTATCAACGTTCTTCACTGTCAGCGTTCTTCACTATCAACGTTCTATCAACGTTCTTCACTCTCAGCGTTCTTCACTATCAACGTTCTATCAACGTTCTTCACTGTCAGCGTTCTTCACTATCAACGTTCTATCAGCGTTCTTCACTCTCAACGTTCTTCACTCTCAGCGTTCTTCACTATCAACGTTCTATCAACGTTCTTCACTCTCAGCGTCCTTCAGGGGGAACTCACAATGTCTTTGCTGTGTTTGTCGAAGGTCTCCTTCACGAACAGCGATCCCAGAGCGAAGCCCAGCGTGTCGTCAGTGTTCCCGATGCAGGTCTGCCAGCGGGGCGTGCACGACTGAAACCAAGAGACAGCCGGGAGAACCAGTTACAACGAGAGACAACAACAGTATAAGTACCTTCTTGGTGTATTGCAGTATTAACAGCAGTATTGCATTATTAATAGTTGTTGGGAAAATACTGAATGTTCCTTCTAATGTCAGAGTAGCACATGATAACAGAGTCTCTACGTAGCTGTGTACGTAGCCGGATGTCTGACTACATGATGACGCTCATGAGACACTGTGTTGAAGTTATGATAGCTCTGTTCCTAAGACTGGCATGATGACACAGCCCCTAGAGAGATAGGCATATGACTGTCATGCTTATTGCTCACGCAGGCCTTAGCTAATCTGAGCTAATGTCAGAACACTGCTTTGAACCGGTGTTCCTCCATCTGGTTGACTGTAACTCCCTCTCTTGTATATCAGCATGTCAAGGACTCTGCAACTATTTGTCCCACGCAGCCCTTTGTGTGAAGACTACTTCCATTCTTGCAAGGATAATAAATACATGTATCCTGATATTGAAGACCAAGCCGGTGACGAGTGATATTTTTCTAACAACAGTAGTACTGCTGTATTGGTTTTACCTTTACCTTCTTGGTTGCAGTATTAGTACCTTCTTGGTGCAGTATTAGTACCTTCTTGGTGCAGTATTAGTACCTTCTTGGTGCAGTATTAGTACCTTCTTGGTGCAGTATTAGTACCTTCTTGGTGCAGTATTAGTACCTTCTTGGTGCAGTATAAGTACCTTCTTGGTGCAGTATTAGTACCTTCTTGGTGCAGTATTAGTACCTTCTTGGTGCAGTATTAGTACCTTCTTGGTGCAGTATAAGTACCTTCTTGGTGCAGTATTAGTACCTTCTTGGTGCAGTATTAGTACCTTATTGGTGCAGTATAAGTACCTTCTTGGTGCAGTATTAGTACCTTCTTGGTGCAGTATTAGTACCTTCTTGGTGCAGTATAAGTACCTTCTTGGTGCAGTATTAGTACCTTCTTGGTGCAGTATTAGTACCTTCTTGGTGCAGTATTAGTACCTTCTTGGTGCAGTATTAGTACCTTCTTGGTGCAGTATTAGTACCTTCTTGGTGCAGTATAAGTACCTTCTTGGTGCAGTATTAGTACCTTCTTGGTGCAGTATTAGTACCTTATTGGTGCAGTATAAGTACCTTCTTGGTGCAGTATTAGTACCTTCTTGGTGCAGTATTAGTACCTTCTTGGTGCAGTATTAGTACCTTCTTGGTGCAGTATAAGTACCTTCTTGGTGCAGTATTAGTACCTTCTTGGTGCAGTATTAGTACCTTCTTGGTGCAGTATTAGTACCTTCTTGGTGCAGTATAAGTACCCTTCTTGGTGCAGTATTAGTACCTTCTTGGTGCAGTATAAGTACCTTCTTGGTGCAGTATTAGTACCTTCTTGGTGCAGTATTAGTACCTTCTTGGTGCAGTAATAGTACCTTCTTGGTGCAGTAATAGTACCTTCTTGGTGCCGTACAGGCTCTCCAGCAGCTTGTCCTGAGCGTTCTCGAAGCGCTGATCCAGGCTGGCGACGCTCTTCTGAGCCAGCGTCCACATCATGTAGTTGTTCAGCAGGCTGAGAGGAGCACACAGAGGATCAGCATTTTAGCCCTTCCTGTTTCCTGTTCTGGGACTCAGAGGGAAGCGTCTGCCGTTTTCCATCCCTGTTTATGTTTAACCACGCCCACTTGCTCACGACGAGAGCATCACCGCGGCACCTCATCACTGAATATGAATCTGCAGCTCCAGTCTCTGCATAGCGTCTTTAGAGTAAATGTTAGATCATCTGTAAATATTCATTCACCATGGATTTAAGAATACTTCAGTGTCGTTTACATGGCACGTCCTCCTTATCTTTTTTATTTTTTTTTATTATTGTCATACTTTTTATTTTCTGTTTAAATTAAAACATTTAAATACAAAAAATATATATTTATATTTTTAATGTTTTTCTCATTTATTTTTCTTATTATTTTACACTTATTTACATATTTAATGTTATTTTCAATTATTTAAATCGTTACATGTTCTGTTACGTTGTCTTCATACTTCCATCACGCAGTGGTGCAGAGAGAAGTGGGCGTGGTTAACATAAGTGGGCGTGGTTAACATAAGCGGGCGTGGTTAACATAAGTGGGCGTGGTTAACATAAGTGGGCGTGGTTACATGTGAACAGGTGCGTTTCACTGACCTGTGCTCGGTGCGGTTGATGAGCTCGGACACCTGCTGCAGGTACTCCCGCGCGTACAGAACCACGTGCTCGGTGTCGTTCAGATCCAGAGGAGAGAGCGAGGCCGACAGGAAGTCCAGCCACTCCACAGCCGGGGCCAGCAGCTTCACAACACCAACGAAGAAGAACAAGAAGAACAAGAAGAAGAGGCATCACATACAGGCGAACCAGAAAACAGTGGTGCAGGAAAGAGGTCAATGGTTTCTGGATGTGGTTTTGGTAGAAATGTATATATGAATGTGAGTGAGTGTGGACTGGTACTGGAGAGGAGCCGGACCCCCAACTGCTCACTGGCAGCCTCTCCGCTCTGAACCTCTCAATGTGCATATATAACTGTGTGTGTATCTGCATCTCCACAACAAAAAGCAGAGCTGGGAAGTAGGGCAGTACAAATACTTAGTTATTGTACTTAAGTACATCTTTCTGGTATCAGTACTTTACTCCACTACTTATTACTTTGACTTCTTACATGTTGAACACAAATACCTGTACTTTCTACTTCTTACATGTTGAACACAAATACCTGTACTTTCTACTTCTTACATGTTGAACACAAATACCTGTACTTTCTACTTCTTACATGTTGAACCCAAATACCTGTACTTTCTACTTCTTACATGTTGAACACAAATACCTGTACTTTCTACTTCTTACATGTTGAACACAAATACCTGTACTTTCTACTTCTTACATGTTGAACACAAATACCTGTACTTTCTACTTCTTACATGTTGAACACAAATACCTGTACTTTCTACTTCTTACATGTTGAACACAAATACCTGTACTTTCTACTTCTCACATGTTGAACACAAATACCTGTACTTTCTACTTCTTACATGTTGAACCCAAATACCTGTACTTTCTACTTCTCACATGTTGAACACAAATACCTGTACTTTCTACTTCTCACATGTTGAACCCAAATACCTGTACTTTCTACTTCTTACATGTTGAACACAAATACCTGTACTTTCTACTTCTTACATGTTGAACCCAAATACCTGTACTTTCTACTTCTTACATGTTGAACCCAAATACCTGTACTTTCTACTTCTTACATGTTGAACCCAAATACCTGTACTTTCTACTTCTTACATGTTGAACACAAATACCTGTACTTTCTACTTCTTACATGTTGAACACAAATACCTGTACTTTCTACTTCTCACATTTCCCAAACAGGCTGGTTCCTTTAGTTTGAATGTGTGTTTGGTGGCGTGATCATTATTATTTAGAGTCATTGCGTGCCTATTGATTTGAACACGATCCGTGTATCCATCATTTCCTGGTCTTCTCTAAAGAAGAGGGACCAATGAAAACGTTGGAGCTCAGGTCAGAAGAATTTCATTGCCATTTCTACACTGTAGCTTGTGACAATAGAACCTTTGAATTTTAAAATAAGGTATCAGTGACATCAACATAGAGTAAATTAGACCTAAAATTACACAAAATAATAAAAGAAAGCTGCTAAATGACTCAATTTGGATGCAAGACGGAACCAACCGACCCAAAGGAGAGACCAGCAGACCAGCAGACCAGCAGACCCAAAGGAGAGACCGGCAGACCCAAAGGAGAGACCGGCAGACCCAAAGGAGAGACCAGCAGACCCAAAGGAGAGACCAGTAGACCAGCAGACCCAAAGGAGAGACCGGCAGACCCAAAGGAGAGACCGGCAGACCAGCAGACCCAAAGGAGAGACCGGCAGACCCAAAGGAGAGACCGGCAGACCAGCAGACCCAAAGGAGAGACCGGCAGACCCAAAGGAGAGACCGGCAGACCGGCAGACCCAAAGGAGAGACCGGCAGACCGGCAGACCAGCAGACCCAAAGGAGAGACCGGCAGACCCAAAGGAGAGACCGGCAGACCCAAAGGAGAGACCAGCAGACCCAAAGGAGAGACCAGTAGACCAGCAGACCCAAAGGAGAGACCGGCAGACCCAAAGGAGAGACCGGCAGACCAGCAGACCCAAAGGAGAGACCGGCAGACCCAAAGGAGAGACCGGCAGACCAGCAGACCCAAAGGAGAGACCGGCAGACCCAAAGGAGAGACCGGCAGACCGGCAGACCCAAGGAGAGACCGGCAGACCGGCAGACCCAAAGGAGAGACCGGCAGACCCAAAGGAGAGACCGGCAGACCCAAAGGAGAGACCGGCAGACCCAAAGGAGAGACCAGCAGACCCAAAGGAGAGACCAGCAGACCAGTAGACCCAAAGGAGAGACCGGCAGACCAGCAGACCCAAAGGAGAGACCGGCAGACCCAAAGGAGAGACCGGCAGACCCAAAGGAGAGACCGGCAGACCCAAAGGAGAGACCAGTAGACCCAAAGGAGAGACCGGCAGACCCAAAGGAGAGACCGGCAGACCCAAAGGAGAGACCAGTAGACCCAAAGGAGAGACCGGCAGACCCAAAGGAGAGACCAGTAGACCCAAAGGAGAGACCGGCAGACCGGCAGACCCAAAGGAGAGACCGGCAGACCCAAAGGAGAGACCGGCAGACCCAAAGGAGAGACCGGCAGACCCAAAGGAGAGACCAGCAGACCCAAAGGAGAGACCAGCAGACCCAAAGGAGAGACCAGCAGACCAGCAGACCCAAAGGAGAGACCAGCAGACCAGCAGACTCAAAGGAGAGACCAGCAGACCCAAAGGAGAGACCAGTAGACCCAAAGGAGAGACCAGCAGACCCAAAGGAGAGACCAGCAGACCCAAAGGAGAGACCAGCAGACCCAAAGGAGAGACCAGCAGACCAGCAGACCCAAAGGAGAGACCAGCAGACCAGCAGACTCAAAGGAGAGACCAGCAGACCCAAAGGAGAGACCAGTAGACCCAAAGGAGAGACCAGCAGACCCAAAGGAGAGACCAGCAGACCGGCAGACCCAAAGGAGAGACCGGCAGACCCAAAGGAGAGACCGGCAGACCCAAAGGAGAGACCAGCAGACCCAAAGGAGAGACCAGTAGACCAGCAGACCCAAAGGAGAGACCGGCAGACCAGCAGACCCAAAGGAGAGACCGGCAGACCCAAAGGAGAGACCGGCAGACCAGCAGACCCAAAGGAGAGACCGGCAGACCCAAAGGAGAGACCGGCAGACCGGCAGACCGGCAGACCCAAAGGAGAGACCGGCAGACCCAAAGGGGAGACCGGCAGACCCAAAGGAGAGACCGGCAGACCCAAAGGAGAGACCGGCAGACCCAAAGGAGAGACCGGCAGACCCAAAAGAGAGACCAGCAGACCCAAAGGAGAGACCAGCAGACCAGTAGACCCAAAGGAGAGACCGGCAGACCAGCAGACCCAAAGGAGAGACCGGCAGACCCAAAGGAGAGACCGGCAGACCGGCAGACCCAAAGGAGAGACCGGCAGACCCAAAGGAGAGACCGGCAGACCGGCAGACCGGCAGACCCAAAGGAGAGACCGGCAGACCCAAAGGAGAGACCGGCAGACCCAAAGGAGAGACCGGCAGACCCAAAGGAGAGACCGGCAGACCAGCAGACCCAAAGGAGAGACCGGCAGATCCAAAGGAGAGACCGGCAGACCGGCAGACCCAAAGGAGAGACCGGCAGACCCAAAGGAGAGACCGGCAGACCCAAAGGAGAGACCAGTAGACCCAAAGGAGAGACCGGCAGACCGGCAGACCCAAAGGAGAGACCGGCAGACCCAAAGGAGAGACCGGCAGACCCAAAGGAGAGACCGGCAGACCCAAAGGAGAGACCGGCAGACCCAAAGGAGAGACCGGCAGACCCAAAGGAGAGACCGGCAGACCCAAAGGAGAGACCAGCAGACCCAAAGGAGAGACCAGCAGACCAGCAGACCCAAAGGAGAGACCAGCAGACCAGCAGACTCAAAGGAGAGACCAGCAGACCCAAAGGAGAGACCAGTAGACCCAAAGGAGAGACCAGCAGACCCAAAGGAGAGACCAGCAGACCCAAAGGAGAGACCAGCAGACCCAAAGGAGAGACCAGCAGACCAGCAGACCCAAAGGAGAGACCAGCAGACCAGCAGACTCAAAGGAGAGACCAGCAGACCCAAAGGAGAGACCAGTAGACCCAAAGGAGAGACCAGCAGACCCAAAGGAGAGACCAGCAGACCGGCAGACCCAAAGGAGAGACCGGCAGACCCAAAGGAGAGACCAGCAGACCCAAAGGAGAGACCAGTAGACCCAAAGGAGAGACCAGTAGACCCAAAGGAGAGACCGGCAGACCCAAAGGAGAGATCGGCAGACCCAAAGGAGAGACCGGCAGACCCAAAGGAGAGACCAGCAGACCCAAAGGAGAGACCAGCAATCCCAAAGGAGAGGCAGACCCAAAGGAGAGACCAGCAGACCCAAAGGAGAGACCAGCAGACCAGCAGACCCAAAGGAGAGACCAGCAGACCCAAAGGAGAGACCAGCAGACCCAAAGGAGAGACCGGCAGACCCAAAGGAGAGACCAGCAGACCCAAAGGAGAGACCGGCAGACCCAAAGGAGCGAATCAACTTAAAAATGACCACAAACTAAATAAAAATTACAAAATAAATGATAAACATTGGATGCAAAATACTCTCATTAAAGACAGATAGTATTTACTATAGAGGCCAGTAGAGGGCGCTCTGCTCCACGTTATCAACAGATACAAAGGAGCTCAGATACTGCAGGAAGTCTCCCTGCTGCAGACCTACTGAAGACAGACTGAAGACAGACTGAAGACAGCCTGAAGACAGACTGAAGACATGCTGAAGACAGACTGAAGACATGCTGAAGACAGACTGAAGACATGCTGAAGACAGCCTGAAGACAGCCTGAAGACATGCTGAAGACATGCTGAAGACATGCTGAAGACAGACTGAAGACAGCCTGAAGACAGACTGAAGACATGCTGAAGACATGCTGAAGACATGCTGAAGACAGACTGAAGACAGCCTGAAGACAGACTGAAGACAGACTGAAGACAGTCTGAAGACAGACTGAAGACAGACTGAAGACAGTCTGAAGACAGACTGAAGACAGCCTGAAGACAGTCTGAAGACAGTCTGAAGACAGACTGAAGACAGACTGAAGACAGCCTGAAGACATGCTGAAGACAGACTGAAGACAGCCTGAAGACAGACTGAAGACAGACTGAAGACAGCCTGA